TATATATAAGGTATTAGGTGGAGGCCATCGCTTCTAGTAACAAGAAGCTAATTACTAGGTTTGCATGTAATCATACACGAGAAGTTCCAAAGCGGGGCCTATTGGAGGCGACGGTGTCCATTCTCCTCTCACGACCTCAGAACTGCTGGTACGAGTAACTAATTACATATATAGATAGTTCTGGAACCACACGGTTTCGATGCTGGCCTGTGCTATTGCTTCATTAGACAGCTTCCATTTCTGGACCCATGAAAATTAACAGTCAGTGTCCCGAGTTTTTCTCCAAGGTAATTACAGATCCTCCAGTTTGCGAGTACCCTGAGGCAATACTATCAATCATCGCTGGCTCAACAAATCAAAGCAAGGAGCAAATGTCTATCTATCACAGGTGTCAATGTGCGTCAATCTTCTGACCCTTCTGATGTGTTCGCAACTCGTCGCAACAAACGACGAACTTTCTTCACCTTTAAGGCTCGAAGCCTCAAAGTACTGAAAAAAAAATGTGTCGATCTTCAAAACTAACTAATTACTACTAATATACATGTATATATAATAATATAAATTACTACATTTTACTAAATGTCCTTTTTGGGGCTACAACTCGAGGGCACAGACTGCATGTCATGGCACATCCAAGCAACATGTGATCGGAAACAGTCTCTTGGCCCGTTCCGATTTCAGCGCTGCTCGACACCATTGCTCGATGCTGTGGATGCCGATGCTGTAGATGCCGTGGATCCTGTGGATACAGCTTTCGAGGTGTTCGTCTTGCCCACCGCCATGGCTCGTTCCACACGCGGCTGCTCACTCGCCGGCGCAGAGTTGCCACAGCCCATGGAGAACCCTCTGCGGCAAGTGGGCGCAGGCAATCCAGAGTTTGGAGCCGCTGATTTCGGTGTGATCACGGCGCTGATTCAGAGATTGGTGCCAAGAAACACCGTTTTTTCTCCATGGTCCATTGTAAAATTGTAGAAGTCTCTAGATGTACACTCGTCCGTCTTTGATTTGATGGGAACAAAAACACCACCGACTACCCTCTGCCCCAAAACGGACCATGTGCTCGCTGGACAAGGCGGGACTTGGTCAGCCCTGGCAGAATGATATAGAGGAGAACTCAGGAGAACGCTGAAAAGAATCAGAATCTGTGAGATACCGAGATACCTCTAACTAGTAAAAAGAAGCGCTGCAACTAAACACAACTAAACAGCCACTGCAATGGTTCTTTGGTTCTTGAATTCAGTGATGATGATAGTTGTGCTGCAGTAGTCTGCTCTTTTGGCAACTGTGTTGCTGGTCGGGATTGGATGCCATCAGTCAGAACTAAAAAAGCTGCTAAGTCTAGGCTGTACAAGCGGCTTGCTGAGAGACTTTGCCAGCAAATGATGGCATTCTAAGGTCTGTACAAGGGTCCAACGGTCGAAGTTCTCCAAGAGAAAGTGCATTCATGTCTTCAACCAGTGTCTTTGTAGGTCACAACGCCATACATCGAGGTCGAGTCGGTGAACTCAGGAGCGACACCAATCAAACGTCAAACACCGGTTCCATGGGTAACCAGAAACTACTAGTAGCTCCTGGCATTACTACTAGTAACAAGAAGCTACTAGAAACAAAGGGAATCCCTACTAAGAGCAAGAAGCTACTAGTAAGTCCTGGCATTACTACATTGCTACTAGTAACAAGAAGCTACTAGGAACAAAGGGCATCGCTACATGGAGAAAGAAGCTACTAGTAGCTCCTGGCACTACTACACTTTACTACTAGTAACAAGAAGCTACTAGGAACAAAGGGCTACTAGGAACAAAGGGCATCGCTACTAGGAGAAAGAAGCTACTAGTAGTTCCTGGCATTACTACTAGTTATAAGAAACTACTAGAACAAGGGGCATCGCTACTAGGAGCAAGAAGCTACTAGTAGCTCCTGACCTTACTGCTAGTAACAATTCTACTGTCCTAGGTCTTTATGTAGGGGTCCTTGGTGTACTTTGTCGCAGAAGAAGTTTCAACAGGAGGGAAGCTATGCGTTCTCTTAAATTGCTCCACATCCGTCAACAAAGTCCGCTAGGACACAACAACTGCGGGGTACAAGACTACCCTGCCCTCGACAAACAGAGCCACTGAGACACCGACACCCATGAACCTGTCCATGTTGAAAGTAAGGATGCTTCTTCACTGTGAAAACACACAAGCACATATAAATTAATACATACATGTGAGTGAGTAAAGGAAGGAGCCTTTTCAACAACTCTGAGGACACATCCACCGAACAACGCCCCATCACCACCAACAAATGACAAAACCTTTAAAACAAATTCCTCAGCCACCATATGCCACCATACACATCTTACCATCACAAGAAGGAGACCCCAAATGGACCGAACAAGGGCTCTCAGCGCCTCGGGAAACACAAGGCCACCACCTGTTCCCCAAGACGACACCGAGGACATGGGCAGCTCGCGTGCGCCACGATGACGCTCCAAGAGGTCTATCAGATCGTTGGGCACCCTAGGACCGGCGCCGGCGTGGCCGGGCACCGGGCACCGGGTTGGGCACCGGTCGTCTCGCTTCGAAGAGAAACGTCAGAGAGGTTGACATGAGGGGACCAAGTTCTTGCGGTTTATGGAGATACGGGTGGAATGCCCTAGGTCACTTGGAGGGAAGACAGGTGGAGTGCCCGATTCGGGCATGCTGGAGAAGACTCCGGAACACCCACGATCGACCCGCGCACGCATTTGACACAAATGTTCCAATTTAATAAATAGACATGAAGCATCATGAAGCAGAGGTAGGAGCTCAAACGGCACCCAAAATAGGTGGACAACAAAAGCGAGTGATTGCAGGAAAGGTGGTCGACTAAGGGTAGACGACCTTACCTACCAAGATCAGCTCAAAGATACCCAAACCATCCAGATGCAGAGCCCATATGCAGACCTCCAAAATGGTCGGACCTCCCGCCACGAAAAGGATAGCGACTTTGTTGCATGGCCATGTCATCATGCTCTCTACTCTGATCCCTGGTTGGTGTTCAGACGACTATGGAGGTGCTCCACTATTGCCCACTGTAGCAATCGATTGAACACAAAAATGTCTAGACCTCACAAAAACCAAAAAAAGGACCAGAATCCCTTGGAACTCCAAGCAGAATCCCTTGGAACTCCAAGCACCTCCGGAGTTCAAGTACTTTGATGCCAAAAAACACAACCCCTATATACCCCTACTCAGGAGGTAGCTGGATTGGAGCCCTAGGGTTTCTTTACCCTCCAAGCATCTTCGGCCCCTTGTGCTTCACACCGCCGAAGTCCACCATTGACTCCGACAGTGGTGTGTAGGGATGCGCAGTGGAGGACACGCAGCCCATGGCGTCGGAGTGCGGCGCGAAGCACGAGGTTGCGGTCTTTTTGAACCAATGCACAGTGTGAGCAATGAATCAATGAACAAAATACTATCCCGTCAAAATAGAAACGCATATATAGTAGTATAGTACATAGATTATAGTTGTTTACCCCATGTTTACCCCTATTTCTCGAACACGTGCCCATTGGAGCTGCTTTTGGGCAACTCGGTTTCTGCGGCGCCCGGAAACAAACGGTCGACCCGTCGGCCTCCGGTCGACCCGTCCTGAGACCTCGGACGCTCGAAGTAGTCGTCCGTGAAGCCTCCCACGCTGACCCCGTCCAGACCATCGAAGACCTGACCGAGCGGCGCGGCGCGGCGCGCTCCGCGCGCGGCCCGGAGCCGGTCGGGGAGCCGGTCAGGAGAGGGGATCACTGGCCGGAGAGAGTGGCAAGACATCTTAACTGTAAAGCTCGCTGACAGGAATGTAGCAGGAAAGAAGATCGCAGAATGGACCTGTCCACATATTTTACATTTTTTTAAGGGGTGTCGAAGCAGTGGACCCTCGCTTTGTACCGGACGACGAAAACCAGCGAAAGATTTTTTTGAGGACTCAGCAATGTCTAGAGTCTAGCGTACTCATACTTGTCAGGGTCCAGATATGTCCAAATGCATGTCTTCGGCATATACTTTATACTTCCATCAACCCTTACACCTCCCTCCTCAATGATTTCTTGGTCCTTGCCCTCCGAGCAGTCCTAAGTTGCCGCTGATGATTGATATGTTTGATTGCAGTTGGTCTTTCCTAGGCATGGTTCTCTGCATGCCCATACGCTGCACCCCTGCAGTAGTGCTTTACTCTGAAGCCACTGCAAGGAAACACTTGACACATGGTTGAAACCTGGACATGTAGTGCACAACTGCATAACACACACACAGAGGATTTACATGTCAATAGCGTTGCAAGAGCATTCACCTTCAAACCAAACTAGAATTGTACAGCAAAGCCGGTGTAAAATGTATGTATATATAAGCCTTCATGCATGTTAGTTGGCCAATAATACAAATGGATTGTTCCACCGTAGGACTCCTTAACCAGCGATGGGCGTCATCAAAGTACTTGACAAAGGACTTGTAAGCTCCTCCGAGAAACGCGCCGGGGCGACCCCCCCTTCCGCAATGTATTAGTATATAATTACGCTGACCCTGACCCCTGTGCTGAAGGTTGGCCCATTGCTGAGCAGCCAACCCGCATGATGTTGCCACGCACAAAATTCTTCTTGTACAAGTCGTTGAGCCCCGGATGACGACCTCAGGCGTTCAAGCAGCTATGTTATCATCGTTATGTGATAAGTTATATGTTGTGAGGCTGGGGCCTGGAAAAGTGATAGGTCCTTCAGAAGCAATAACCTTGTTGAATCATGTCTTCTTGGTTAACACGACGTCTCGGCAAACGCTCATAATTTCCCAAGAAAAGGGTTCTTTGCTTTGTTGTCTGGGCGGGGGTTAGCGTCCAGCACTAGGTGCTTGCTGGCGACCACCACGGATTTCAAACACGCAAACAAGAAAAAGGCCAACGTTCCTTTCAGTTCAGCACTTGCTCTCTCAACAATCCGCTATAACTCCAGCACAGAGTGTCTCTTTTCGCTTCGGCCGCCGGTGTCAGGGCGTTTATTGGCTCTGGGGGTCCCTGCCATGAAAGTTGAAGAGCAGGCTACGTTGCTCACTGGGCAGGTTGAAGGATGCCATCCGCCGAGCACGGAAGAAGTCCTCAGGGTATGGCGGCCGAGCGAGGCGGGCGAGGGGTTCGGGAAAAATGGGTCAACCCCCTGGTCAACCCGCCCATGACAATCTTGGGTTGTTCCAAAGGTATCTAGCTCCCCTGCCCTATCCACCAGTATGGCGGTATGGCAACAGCCGGACCAAGGTGACCCATAAGAATAAATATAATCTTCTGGGGGGACTTTAGTCACATCAGCTACTCTAGATTACTCTAGCATTGAGACTTTGGATGGATTCCTCTCCCTGAAATGCATCAAAAAAAAAGCTTGGCACTGCCAGCTATAAGTTCCAGAATCTCGTGCGGTCTGACCAGTTGGTACACTCAGGCTATTGTCAGGCAGTTGGAGGACGTTTCATGCCCTTCCATGGCTTCGGGAATCTCCAGCGCTGCTCGAATCCTACGTTCCAGGGGGGTCGGTTGCGAATCTACGGCATCCACGGCGAGTCTCAAACCGCATACCCTGAGGTCACCGATTGGAGTGCTTGCAGCGTGAATCGTCTTGATGTCCGTCCACAAGACCTGTCTATGACTTGGGATCTCACTGTCCAATGGCCCGAGCCTCGCGTGAATGGATCAAACTCACTCACTGGGCCACTGGGTGGATTGAGAACAACACCCTGCGGTTCGGACTTTAGCATGGCAGTTCGCTAGGCACCACATGCGTACCGAGAACTCCCACATTGCACATGGCAACAGTAAAAACTCGCACTGCAAACTTTCCCAATTCCCCCCCATCGTTGGCCACGAGGCCGTGTGCCCAGGAATCACCAAGTCCTGACGCCCGACCCGGTGAGGCGTCGGCGCCGGACCAGAGCCGACTCCGAGGTTACGGGTGTACATGATCCCATTCTTGGGGGGTACCTGCGGCAATTTGGTTCGAATTGCAAAAGATGTGATTCAACTACACCAGCATCGACCCCAAACAGCAGCGGCAGTCGGAGTTGTCTTCTTTGGCCGATCCATTCCTGGCGCCAAATCTCCGCCCAGCATCCAGACACGCCATGGGAGACAAGGGGAGACGAAGGGAGACAAAGCAAAATCATCTCAGCCCAGCATCCAGACATGCCATGGGAGACAAGGGGAGCCGA